AGCAGCACCTAGTTGGGTTCCTTCTCCCCACTGATGGTCTGTTGGAATTGGCGTGTTAGATCTCTCACACTCCGTGTTATTGATATATATGGCTGTTTTTTGTTAATTGCCAGGAGCTTCTCACTCTGCCTTCTCTGGTTTCGAATGAGCAATTCACATGACTCCTCTTAGGTCCTTTGTCAGTTGACGTGATTTCGGTTGATATCCTGGGTTTATCATATACATTTTTAACAAATCTGTGTTCACCTGCAAATAACAAACGATTTTCAGTAAAACTGACAAAAAGCTGACAATGTTAAACTGATTCAGAGGCATTCAGTACATCTGCACACACCCCACAGCCCAGTTCCAGAACAGTTCGTTGTCCCTGTACCTGTCAAGCAGCCCCGCCCTGTGGCCTGCGTTCTGTCTCTGTGCCTTGTTGGTTCTTGGAATCTCACATACACGGAAGACGTGTGCCTTGCTTCTGGCCTCTTCCTCTTGTTCACCCACGTTGTGGGGCTTCTCTTTCCTGCTGTGTCACGTCGGGTTGTACCTGGGTCCCTTGGCCTGCTCGTCTTTGCAGTGTACCAGGCACTTTCCCACACCACCATTTCCCTTCTCTAGACGTCTTTTTTTCCTTCTTTTTAAAATTTATTTATTCTGATTTGTTGTACATGACAGCAGAATGCATTACAGTTCACAGTACATAAACGGTTGTAACAGTCCATTCACACCATTCGTGTCTTCATACATGTACATGGGGGTAATGGCGTCCGTCTCATTCCATCGTCTTTCCTACCCCCGGCCCCCTCCCTCCCTTCCCTCCCCTTTGCCCAAAGTCCCTCCCCCCCTCCCTCCCATGCCCCCTCCCTCCCTCCCCCCCTCCCTCCCTCATGCATCAGCCTCCACTTATCAGAGAACACTCAGCCTTGGCTTTCTGGGGTTGGCTTGCTCCACTCAGCCTTATCTTCTCCAACTCCGTCCATTTACCTGCAAATGCCATGGTTTTATTCTCTTTGAATGCTGAGTAATATTCCATGGTGAGTATACACCAGTTTCTTGATCCATTCGTCCACTGAAGGACATCGAGGTTGGCTCACACAGTCTAGCTGTTGTGGATCGTGCTGCTGTGAACACGGATGGGGCTGTGTCCCTGGAGTGTGCTGACTTTAAGTCTTTGGGTGTAGACCAAGGAGTGGGATAGCTGTGTCAGAGAGTGGTTCCATCATTCTTCTTTAGGAAGACGTAGAAACAGGCTGTGCAGCTCGTGCAGGCCGACACAGCTGGAGTAGGGGGAGAGCAGGAGACCATTCTGCTCTCCAGCTGCGGAGCCCGTCCAAGGCCACACACTCAGGTATTGATGGGCCGGGCAGCAGGAGGAGGTGACCAGGGCAAGGACTGGGCAAGCTGGCCCCATCTAAAGGGGTGGGCACTGCACCCTGCTCCAGCCAGCCCGTGCCGAGGGGAGTGCATGTCCAGGTGGCCAGAGCTTCCAGTTTGTCCAGAGAACAGTGAACCTGGGTTTAAGAAGCCAAAAGTTAACGCAGCAGCTAGTGGCCTGTTGGCCATCTCCTGGCAGACGCTCCTTAGCTCATTTCTATCATGAAAGACAGAGTGGGAGGTGTGGGGGACAATGACAGGGTGTCCAGTCACACCCAGGTCCTTTGGGGTTACAGCTGGGATAGGCCTTGGCTTGGCAGAATGGCCAGCTCTGTGGTAAGGTGGCATACGTACCCCTAAACCTCCCCACACACTGCACAAAATTATACAGCGAAAGCCACAAGACGCAGGGGCAGGCCCGGGGCTGTGGCACGACCCTCAGTGTGTGTGTGTGTGGGGTCTGGTAGAGCTGCAAGCGGGTCAGTGCCCAGCTGTGACAGACGTGGCCCTGGACCCAAGGAAGCCCCGCGGAGCGCTCGTGCAGGGGGTGTGGCAAGAGCGCATCTCACAGGTGACTGAATGGGGGACAGAGGGGGACCCGGAGTCACGTGGACAGTTGCAGCTGGCTGGCTGAGTGTGACACACAGCCCTCCTCTGGGCTGCTGATCCCAAGGTCACCGAGGAGTGTGGCCTAGTGCTGCCCACGGGAGGCACAGTGTGCAGACCAGCACAGGAGCTGTCCCTCACTCAGTCACACTCGAGAATCCGCCTTTCCCCGATGTTCTGGCTCTCTGAGCGCTGATGGCCAAGAGGTGGCGGGCCCTAGAAGTGACACAGAGCAGGAGGTCCCTCAGGCCTCCCCACCTGCCGTGTGCTGCTCCGTGTGAAAAAATGACAGGTGGCCTCCTGTGTCCTCCTCCCGGGGCTGCCATAGCAGGTCACCACAGCCACGTGGCCTGTGGCAGCACAAGTGTCTTCTCAGGTGTGGAGGCCGGTGGCGTGAAGCGGAGGTGTCGCAGGGCCACCCCTCCTGGGCTCCCTGCTCTCTGGCGTCTGGTGGCCTTCTTACAGGGACACTGGCTGGTGGATTCAGGGCCTGCTGTGACCTCGTCTGTGCTTGTTTCCCCATAAGGTCACCGTCACGGGTCCTGGGAGTTGGGTGGAGCTGGCCAGGGGAGGGTGCGGTTCTGCTCACCAAGCAGGGACGTGGCGGCACCCTCCCACCTGCCGCTGCCCCAGGCCTGGCCACAGGAGCGCACCTGCCCGTGTTGGGCCTGGTCTTCCTGTGCCTGGTGCTCAGCCTCGGGTTCCGGGGGCTGTGGGGGTTATTTTTTCCGACAGCATCTTTAGTTCTTGTTCATGTAGGTGATCTCTCCAAATGGAGGCTGCAGACGTCAGTGAGGGCGACTGTGAGCAGGAGGTTTCAAAAGCTGTGGGTCTTGCATTTGCATGAGCCCCAGTCCTGCGAGGCAGTGGGGGAGAAAAGGATTGTATGTGCAGCCACCAAACGCCACTGTGTCTGTGCAGCCCAGTCCCCCCTGTGTCCCAGCCCCCTGGCTTCTTCCCGCCATCCTGTGCCACAGGCCTGGGAAGGACCTGGAGGAAGAGACCCACTCCCCACATGTGCCGGGGGGCAGCGCGTGGCCTCCAGACAGCAGGGCGTGGGACCACCCGCCTTCTCCGACTCGAGTCACCTGCCACAGGACATTTGGCCACAGTGGGCCACAGGCACAGTGGGGTCCCTTGAGATACCACCTAGCACTGTGGCCCCCTTAATTCCTGTAAAGTGGTACATGCTGTGACGTCAGCACTGGGACCAAGTCACTGGCATTTCTTAGGAGTGTCCCCCTCCAGCGATGCCTGGCTGCAGCTTGGCTCAGCCTCATGACTTGGTCTCTTAAGGGGGAAAGCGGCTCAGGGAGAGGACATGGAGGCAGGAAGCACTGGACTCTGACATCCCAGGCCCTTCCAGGCCGTCGTGTTGACCTAAGGAGGGGCTGCGGGGTGCCTTCCATGGGTGGCGTCTGGGCGCCATATGCCAGCCTGTGCCTGTCGCTCCGGCTGAGCACTGCAGAGGGGGGTGTCTAAAGGATTTCCCCACCAAGCTCTCTTCCAGGGGTGACCTTCGCAGAGGGCCTGGCAGTGCCCTGGGTGGCGGCAGCCCAGGGTTCCCCTCCTCCTCTGGAGCTCTTCTCCTTGGGCCCTGGAAACCTGGTGACCCTGTGGCTGTCCCGGGCTCGCCCTCTGGTGGCGGTACCTGTCCCTGCACCTTCATTCCCGTTGTGCCCACGGCAGACTTTCTGAAGCGGGCGTGTGGGTGACAGGTGCCCCTTTTGGCCGGGCGGGTTACTTGAGGGGAGCATGTGGCCTCGGCCAGGCTCCTGCAGGCCGACTTGGAACACCTGGCACAGCCCCTCGCGGCAGCCTACGCGGCTGCCCTGGGGAGGTCCTTTCTTTGAGGTCCCCGCTTCTGTTCTTAGTTCTCTGTGGCCTTCACCGTGAACTGCTATCCCCAGAGCCCGTGGCCACGCTGTGTTCCCCTCTAGAGAGGTGGCTCCCTGCGGCCCGCGTACCTGTGCGGCGCACCCAGGACCGTGCCCGACGGCATAGTTGTCCCTCAGTGGACGTCTGTTAGTGGGAGGGTCTTTCCTTGGTTGGGTCATTTCAGTTGCATCCACCCACATCACTGAGTTGTCCGTGCGGACAGTTGGCGCCGCTGTGCTCAGGCTGTGAGTTTGTGCTCTGGACTCTGGAGCGCCGTGTCCTGTCTGTCAGGTGGTGACAGCAGGGCTCAGCACACGCCCCTGCCACACCCTGGCAGTAGCAGCCCCCAGGCTCCATTGTGGGGCGGCCCTGCTGGTCCCAGGATGGAGAGGAGCCCAGGGCTCCAAGCTGGGGACTCCCAGGCCCAGAGAGCGGCCAGTGTTGCCAAGCAGCCATCTTGTGGGTGCAGTAAGGTAGGGACCCTGGAGGGCGTGGGCACGGAGGCTGTGCCTCCTGAATGCCGACAGACCCCAGGAATTGGGGTTGGGATTTCTCGCGAGTCGGCGCCTGTGGCCCTCAGTCCACCCCGGGGGTCCTGCCTTCTGTGCGTGTGTCAGGCCTCCGCTAGCCCCGGTCACACGGCAGGGAGTCAGATGGGTCCCTTGGCTTACAGAGCCCAGGAAGTGATTTATTTCCAAATTTTTAGGTTTTTTGAATCAACAACATTTTTCAAAAGAATCGGAGCTGCCCACATTTTATTATTCCTGGACCAGAATTTTTAGAATTGTGCGCCTTGATTTTACTTGCGTCTTTATACTGATGTGGTGCTGAGGACGGAGCCCACGTGCTGAGCAGGCAGGCGCTCGGCCACCGAGCCCAGTCCTGGGCCAGGATTGTGTTTAAGGTGAAACAGTCATCCGTTATTTATTGTTGTCTTGACGTCGTTAAGAAATAGGCTTTTAATTCCAAAAATAACACTGAAGACCTGACCCTGGTGAACAGGGAGTTCCGTGCCCGTCCACATCTGGGAAGCCACCGCCCTGCCCCACTGGTCCGCGCCGCTGCATGAGCTGCTGACACATCGCTGGCTGGCATGCCTTCTGAGTGGCTCCCGCACGTGCACGGGTCTCACGGCGCTCTGTGTTGTCTTCCAGATCGTGACAGACCAGCAGACAGGACAGAAGATCCAGATCGTCACCGCAGTGGACGCCTCGGGATCCTCCAAGCAGCAGTTCATCCTGACCAGCCCAGATGGAGCTGGGGCCGGGAAGGTGATCCTGGCTTCCCCCGAGACGTCCAGCGCCAAGCAGCTCATCTTCACCACCTCCGACAACCTCGTCCCCGGCAGGATCCAGGTAGGCCGCCTGCGCACGCCTGGCCCAGGACTCGCGTCACTGAACGGGTTCCTCCCTGGTCCTTGCCTCTGTCTGGGAAGTCAGATCGGCTCCTTGGAAGGTTCCTTTGGGGACACACGCACAAGGCCGTTTGATGCTTTGGCTCAAGTCAAAAAAACAGCAGATAAGTGGAAGGTCCAGAGAACAGCAGTGACCCTCGGAAGGGCTACAAGTTGAGCCAGGAAGTCGGTGGCACTGAGGCCATGGAGGGGGTCGCTCTTCACGGGGGCAGCCCTGAGCCCTATGTTACAGGCCCTCCTCGGGCCGACCACCCCAGACAGCGACTTCCTGCTGCTCCTCCTGCCTTAGCAGACCTGATCCCAGAGCCTCGCTCCGTTCTCTCTCGCTCCCGTGAGCTGTGGCTCAGGGCCCCACGTGCCTGCCTCGTCTGTGCCCGGGCTGTCCCTGCTCTGGCCAGGCAGGGTGGGTTGGGGCAAGAAGAGCGGGCACCGAAGGGGGGCAGGGTCCTTGCTCAGCGTGAGTTGGCAGCAGTGAGTTTCCAAACCCCACACTCGGAACAGGCGCGAGGCCAGTGTCACACGATCGCCTAGCCCAGGTGCGATCAGTCAGGGTCACAGTGCTTAATTTCTAAAATATTTTTGGTTTACTAGTTCCACTTCTAGGTGGTCGGTGGCATTAAATGAACCGAGCTCACGTTGTTGTGACACCGTCCATCTCTGTCCCTTCCTTTTACTTCTTTGAACCCAGGGGTGCTTAACCTCTTAGCCACACCCCAGCCCTTTCTGTGTTTTATCGTGGGAGAGGGTCTCCGTAGTTGCTGGCCTTGAACTTATGTTCCTCAGCCTCCAGAGTCCCTGGGACTACAGGTGTGGGCCACTGGGCCCGGCTGTCACTCTTTACCTTCCCCAACTGACACTGTGCCCATTAGGAACTGCACACAGATAGATGCCCAAGATGAAGAAACTTCAAGTTGCTGTTCTCTGTCCCCTGGGCAGTCACGTCTCCATGTCCCCTCCAGCCTCTGGCAGCCCCCACTCTAGTTTCCAACTGAGTTGGGGGGACTCTAGATTCCCGCCTCCTGGAAGTGCAGTTGTGCATTCTCTGTCCCTGTGCCTGGCTCTTGTCACTTAGCGAACTCTCTTCCTTATCAAGGCTGAATAGAGTCCCTGTGTGTCCCACTGCAAGGAGCTTGTCTTCCCGTCTGTTGGTGGACACGGGCATCGGTTCCTCCCTTCGGTTATTAAAAGTAACGTGAGGATTCCTGCATTTGTGGGACGGGGGCTTTGTGCTGTGGAGAAACTGAGGGAAGGAAGGAATGGTTTTCTCTGAGCTTCAGAACATCGCTGTAGAAAAAAAAAACTATTTTGAGACGGCGTGTACCGCGGTTTGTAGATACAGCCAGAATCCTGCCCTGCCTGTGAGAACACCCCTCGTTGGTGACAGGCACACTCTGATCCTGATTCCCAAGAGGTGACTTCTGAGTGTGGTCCCCGTCATGCGTAAATCGTCCAAGGCGGCTCGGTAGCCCAGCCACGGCTGCTTTGCACATTCCCAGAGTGAGGATGAGTGCGTGTTCGTCAAGGTGGATAGCACCTAGAGTCACCCAGAAAGTCCCTCTAGACGAGGGCAGGTTCCAGGCTCATGTGTTCTGCCTGGGCGAGAGGCTCTTCCCTCCGACTCACGCCCCTTCACACTCTGGGGTGGCTTCATGGGCTCCGAGGAGCAGCTGGAAGAACCTAGAATACCTTCGTCTTGGCGCATTTCCTTATCTACTACTATAGCTGCAGCGTCTCCTCTCCTGGTCCCCAGGCTCCGTGATGGTAGCCGGAGAGAAGAGTGGTCACGGAGGGCCACTGCGGAGGGTGCGGGTGAGCGGGCAGCAGGGCTGGGATTCTCCACGTTCCCAGCTCCACGGGGCTTGGCCTGGACACTGGGCTCGTGGTCACTGTTGGCTGATTGCTCCTAGATCGTCACGGATTCTGCTTCTGTGGAGCGCTTGCTGGGGAAGGCGGACGTCCAGCGGCCCCAGGTGGTGGAGTACTGTGTGGTCTGTGGCGACAAAGCCTCTGGTATGTGACCCGGGTTCTGCTGGTGCAGGTTGTGGGCCAGCAGCAAGGGCCACCGTCATGGGTGGGGCGGTGGTTAACTCAGAACATTCTCGGTAAGTCTGTAGGTCTCAGAAGTGGGCTGCAGTTTTCTTATTGGGGTGGTGATGTAAGTGTCTCAGGTCGACAGGAAAAGTCAAAACTACTTCTTCCAAGGTGCAGTGGCGCACGCCTGTAATCCCGGTGGCTCGGGAGGCTGAGGCAAGAGGATCGGAGGTTTGAGGCCGGCCTCGGCAACTTGGCGAGGCCCTAAGTAACTTGGCGATGCCCTGTCTCCATAATAAGGGCTGGGGTGCTGCTCAGTAATGGGGAGCCCCTGGGTTCAATCCTGGGTGCAGGCAGACAGGTGCCCAGAAGGTCAGCCCTGGCCTGTGTCCGGGGGGCACAGAGGGTCAGGAGGCGGGCAGTAGTGACGGGAGGCTTGAGTTCTTGGGCGGCCTGGTTCCACTTTATTCTGTGGCAGCCAAATTCCTAGGCGCTCTGGACACCTTGTCCTGTTTGTGTAAAGAGGGGGCTGGAGCAGGCCTGTAGGAAGGCGGCCCAGGAGCATCTGCAGGACAGCAGCTGCAGGTCCCTCCCGGCCGGTGACACCGTTTCTGGGCTGTGGCGCCTCACGAAACCGCCCATACCCCCCTTCTCAGAAGCCCTCACCTGCCCTGGCAGCAGGCCACAGTGCTGCCTCTGGTCCTGATGGCCCTTTTGTGCCCACTCTCCACACGGCTGTCGCGTTGTCTGGTAGCTCCCCAGGCCCGTCTTCCCGTGGGAGTGTCTAGCGCTCCGCCCTCCCGGCTCCCCAGTTCCCATCTTGTTGCGCAGCAAGGACGCAGGCGGGGTGGACCAAGCAGGGACAGGACCCAGGAGGGCCCTACGTGTCCGGCCTCCTCTGAGCACAGAGGGCCTCTGCACAGGCCACGAGGGCCCTCCTCTCCAGGTCCTAGAGTCACGCAGACGTGGGGGGGTGGCTGAAGGACATGCACGGCGAGGAGGAGCCGTGAGCAGAGGTGACCGGCACAGCTGCTCTTCAGGAGCAGAACCACAGGCTGGGACGTGGCGCGTGGCACAGCCCTGGCCTCCCTTGTGCAGGGCCCCGGGCTCGTCCTTGGGGCTGGGGTGGAAGCACTGGAGGAAACGGTCCCCGCCTAGTGCTGGGCCAGCGGGATCCTCTGTGGCCACCGTAAATGATGGTCCTGTAAATGTGCCCTCCCTGGCCATGTCCCTGAAATTGGGTCACCAAAACCAGGCAGAGCCAAGGCGTCCACGAGACAAATGAGAGGTGATATTGTCATAGGCTGGAGACGCTGAAAACAAAGCACGGACTAAGTGCTTTTCCCAGGACTGTGATCCTGGAGGGGACCGAGTACCTGACGCAAGTGACCCCGAGGCCACCTTCCGATAGGGTTAGGGGTGCCTGGGAAGCTCGTGTGTGAAGTGCTGTGGGCATCGGGAGGTCAGGCTCTGAGGGCCTTGCCCAGGCAGGACAAGTGCCCTGGGTCCCCTGGGGGAGCCGAGGACAGAGGGGCTGTGGCAGCAGGGTGGGTCAGGGGCCTCGGTCCCTGGAGAGCCGGGCCTCTGCTTCCTGGCGTCCTGTCCTGAGCCGCCGCCTCCTCCCCATGCCCCCCTGCGGCTCCGCGTCCCCAGGCCCAGGGCAGTGGTGTCTGCCACTCGGACCACTGGACTGTCAGCCCCCACAGGGGCTCTCCCTCCTCCTCTAAAGTTGGCGCGGGGCCCTTGGAGACGCCGAAATGGTGGCGCTGACCACACGCCTTCCCTGACCTCGGGCCGGGCAGCGGCCACTCTGCTTCCCGGGGCCTTCAAGGCCCTGCAGGTGAACAAGGGCGGCAGTGAGACCCCGGCCCTGAAGCCGCTCATGCGGTCCTGTGTCCAGCACAGGACGGAGCCGGGGGGCCGAGCCACCCAGGTCTGCAGGCGGGGGACAGGCGTGCAGTGCCCGGTGGAGTTCCGGCAGCGCGGCAGGTCCCTGGTGTGCCCGGAGCACCTGCCCGCCATCCGTGCCCTGTGCGTGCCGCGGCTCCTGGGAAGACCGCGGGGGCTCCTGGGAGGGACGCGGCCTGGCCTCCTGCTCGGGGCTCCCTGTCCCAGGCCCTGGTGGACGCCCTCTGCAGCCCAGGCCGCGGCCACCACCTCTGTCCTGTCCTTGCAGGCCGTCACTATGGGGCCGTCAGCTGCGAGGGCTGCAAGGGTTTCTTCAAGAGGAGCGTGAGGAAGAGCCTGACCTACAGCTGCCGCAGCAGCCAAGACTGCGTCATCAACAAGCACCACCGCAACCGCTGCCAGTTCTGCCGCCTCAAGAAGTGCCTGGAGATGGGCATGAAGATGGAATGTGAGCGGGCGCCGGGAGGGCGGGCGGGGCACACGGGCTTTAACCAGAAACCCCCGCTCGTGGGTCAGCCGGTGACTGAGCCAGCGCCACTGGACCTGGTCAGTCCCCGTGGCACCCCTGAGCCCTGCTCCAGAGGAGTTGGGAGCAGGACGGTGCCGCGGGGCCAGCGCCAGCTGTGGAACAAACTGCCACGTGGCCTCGGGTAGCCCCAGGGTCCCCTCTGAGAGCCAGAAGCCTGCTGTTCCCATAGCCCTGGGCCAGGCCTCCCGCCCAGCCGTGGCGCATTGGGGCAGGGCGCAAGCCCCCCACTCTGCTCCTGGGGCTAGAAGTGGGGGTTAGGAATTCCAGGAGCAGGCCCTGGTCCCCAGGAACCAGGCAGTGAAAACCAGGACAACTGGGACCTAAAGCAGGCAGCAGAGAGACCCGGGGACGTGGTGTTGGGCTCTGGGACCTCCCTTCCCCTCAGGGGAACGGGGACAGCAGGTGCAGGTGACACTCGACCTGGCCCGCGTGGTCCTGGGGGCAGCAGCACTTTTCAGAGTAGCCGTTTCTGTTTCTACAGGGGAAATGGCAGACGTCACTTGGGACAAGTAGGAAAGTGTTTTCCAGAAAGTCAGAGGCGCCAGCCTGGGTTCTGTAGAGGGGGGTTTTTATTTTGCCCGTGACGGGGTCCTTCCCCACGGCGGACGGCACCACCCCATTGCCAAGTGACCTTCCTTCCTCAGTAGCAGGTGCCATCCCTCAGGACAGTGGCAGAAATTATTCTTTTGCCATCTCAGCTGTAACTGAATTCAGGATCCAGCTGAAACCAAAAATAAAGATAAATTTAAAAGTATCCAGAAAGCAAAATTCAAGAGGAAGGAAAAGTAAAAGATCCAGCTGGATTGTCTGGTTAGCAGGACGTCTGGACCCTAGTCTCTGGGTTTCCGGTCTTTTTTTACCTTGGTTTGCTTGTGGCCCGTGTCCCTGTCCTCTTACTCGAGAGCTGAAGGGAGAAGTGACAGTGGGATGGGAAATTGGCGCCCACCAAACAGCAGGCGCGGGCTGTTCAGGCTGGAGGCTGGCATGGTTCCAGTGTCTTTGGCTTGGGACCGTCCTTCTGCCCAGGGCTGCTTGAAGATGGGCATTTCTCGTCCTTGGGAAGAGCCAGTTCACTAGCGGCAACACGTGCTGCTCCTAGACCCCAAGGCTGCAGGTCCAGGGAGGCGCCCAGGTCACCTGTGTTCTGTTGCCTCGGCCCCTGTCCTCTGGAGCTGTGCGTGTGCCTCTGATGTGACAGGGCATGGTGGGGCCTCGCTGCCTCCTCTCCTTGGGCGGGGAGTCCACTGTGGAGACCGAGGAGGCTGGAGCCATGGCTGAGCTCCTCAACCCTGCAGCGGGGGGTTCCTGAGGGAGCCCGGGGCGTGCCGTGTGGTGACGTGGCGTGCTGTGCTTTAAGCTGTGCAGAGCGAGCGGAAGCCCTTCGACGTGCAGCGGGAGAAACCAAGCAATTGTGCCGCTTCCACAGAGAAAATCTATATCCGGAAAGACCTGCGAAGTCCTCTGATAGCCACTCCCACGTTTGTGGCAGATAAAGATGGAACCAGGTCAGTGCCCTGTTCTCCAAGGGTGGCCCAGGTGGGCAGCTGGGCGTGTCTTATTCCATTCCCGCTGCCACGGCTCGGTCACCCCCAGAGCTGTCCTGGGGATGCCTGGCTCGGGGCTCTGTCTGTCCTGCAGTGTAGGCCTCACTCGGTCAGGAGGACAGGTGTTGGGAACCTGGGATTTGGACTTTGGCAGTATAAACGGGAGGTCCCAGACGGTGCCACAGGTCATTTGTACCTTCTTTTGAATGCACCTTATTGACCTGGTTTTAAGGGTCAGAGAGAAGGAGAATGGGACCCAGGACGTAGCGCAGAGAGCGCGGGAGGGACCCCAGTGACTGCACACAGCTCGGTGCGCAGTGTGGGCGCCTCCGTGTCCACGTTTCCGCCGAAAGGAGGCTGTCACCCGGGCGCTGGGTCTCGGCGTGCAGGAGGCAGGGAGTCTGCCGACATGCTGGAAGCTACCCTGGGTTTCTTTGTCTTCAATAGACAGACGGGCCTTCTCGATCCAGGGATGCTCGTCAACATCCAGCAGCCGCTGATACGCGAGGACGGCACGGTGCTCCTGGCCACGGATTCCAAGGTGACGTTCTCCCCCCGTCCTCTGTGCTGGCAGTGGGCTATCTCCCTGGGCCCCGCTCCTCCTTGGCCCCCAGAGACCTTGCTGATGGCTTCTAGAACTGCTTCAGGCTGGGGCCGTGCCTCGGTGGAGTTGAGGCCGCAGTCTGTTCTCCACTAAGTCAGACCCACAGTCCAGCACCAGCTTCCTGAGGGGACAGCTGCTGGGCCTGCGAAGGTGTGAGCCCAGTAATAAGAAAGTAGCAGAAAGGCACACGCTCGAGCTCTGGCTTCCCTTTTACCTGGAGGGTGGTCACGGGCCGTACTGTCAAGGGGACTCTCCACCAGTACCACTGACTTCAGATGGTCTCCCAGAAGGGACTGCCAACATCCCTCCCTCCAAACCTGCCTCTGACTCCCTGGTGTCAGTTCTGTGCCTTCCACATCCAGGGCCTCTACCGGTGCCCCCTCCCAGCTGGCTCCTGTCCCTCAGCACAGTGTCCACAGGGCCATCCAGGGTGCAGCCTGTCCCAGAGATTGAGTCCTCACTGTCGTCGTGGGGGAGAGTCAAAAGCTGGGCGTGGCCGTCCACGTTGTGCCCTGCCGTCCTCCACGGGATGTGACATCTGTTTAGACTGAACGGCCCTGGTCCCCACAGTCCCACCAGCAGGGTCCGTGGGCTTGGATTTCCCACGTCTTTGTCAGCACGTCCCCATCTTTTGGAGTCATAGCCCTCTGCATCTTGACACGTGCTCATGGGCCGTCTGTCTGGAGAGATGCTGTCCCAAATTCCACGTCCAGTTTTGCACTGGGTCGCCTGTAACTGTGGGGCTCCACGAGGTCCCCGGCTGTCCTGGGGCTACCCTGTGCCTGTGTGTGACCTGCAGCCTTCACTCCACGGTCTGGGTATTTTGTGGGTTCTCTGGTTTTTCCTGCCGTCTATGAAGCACCCCAGTGTGGATGAGTGACGGCCAGCGGGTCTGTTTCTCCTCTCAGTGTCTCACTGTCGTGTCATCTGGGACTTGTGTGACCACTATCATAACCAAGACTTAGAAAGCTAGTCTGTCACCAGAAGGATGCCCTGGTGCCACCCATTTGTTCACAAGATCAAATTTTGAGTCCCGAGTCGGCGTCACCTGCACAGCGGCCTGAGTCCTGTGCGTGTGTGCTCGTGTTTAACGTCACGTTTTTCGCTCAATAGGCCGAGACGAGCCAGGGAGCTCTGGGCACCCTGGCGAATGTAGTGACCTCCCTGGCCAACCTGAGCGAGTCCCTGAACAATGGCGACACTTCAGAGATCCAGCCGGAGGACCAGTCCGCCAGCGAGATCACTCGGTACGTGGCCACGGGGGAGGACCACACAGTCACGGTGCTGGGAGGGCGGTGGTGGCCTTTGCCATCCGTCCTGCCTTCAGTCGAGGGCTACGGCGTGGTCACAGTGACACTGCATGTCTGTGCTCTCAGGTTTAACTGTGAGACTATTGTCCCTTTTAGTCTGTGACATGGATCAAAATTGCGTGACCCGGGAGGCAGGAGGGGACATGGCAGCGGCCTGATGTTCATCCTGCTGAGTGCCCCAACAGCAGCAGCTCGTTCCTTCCACCTCTGGGGCTGGGGAGCGGGAGCTGACGGGGGTCGCTGGCCTGGCCCCGGGTGGCTGCTCAGCACTGGCCTGTGCCCTGGTGTCGGCCAGCCAGGTGACGGGGGCTCGGCCCTCGTGTTCCCTTCCAGTCTAAGGACAAAGTGAAGGTCTGGGTCAGGGCCCGGGAGGGTGGTGTCCAGTCGGGTAGAATCCTGTGTCCACTGCTGGCCGTGGGTGGCCGTGGACAAGCCACTGGCATTAGATCTGCAACCAGGAGAACATTCCTGCCTTGGGAGGGTGACCGTGGACCACCAAAGTCACACTGGAAATCACAGCCCACTGCTGGACGCTGGTGCTGTTCTGGACCTCCTGTGTCCCTTTCTGTTGCTGTGGCCCGCCGCTGCAGGGGGACAGCACCTCTTCCTCGAGGCCTTGCTGTTCTGGACACTGACTCAGCAGAGCCACAGGTTCACGAGCTGCTTGGTTTCCGCTCACAGGGCGTTTGACACCTTAGCTAAAGCACTTAACACGGCGGACGGCGCCTCGCCCCCCGGCCTGGCGGACGGCGTGGACACCAGCGGAGGGGGCAGCATCCACGTCATCAGCAGAGACCAGTCGACGCCCATCATCGAGGTTGAGGGCCCCCTCCTTTCAGACACACACGTCACCTTTAAGGTGAGTGTCTGTGGCCCGGCCACAGGCGGGTCTGAAATCATCTGGGAGCTGGTCCCCGTCCCCACCCCCGTGGTGTGGCAGAGTGGCCTGAGCAGAGCTTGAGTCCAGAGCAGTCTTCCCTGTCTTGCTCGCAGTGCCACTCGATTGTGCAGGGACCCGGCAACAGGTGTGGCCTGTCTTTGCCAAGGTGGGCAGTCCCCAAGGGTGGTGGCTGGCTGCTCTGCCCCTGCTCCCCGCAGAGCCTGGCTGTGGGCACCTCCATGCAGTGGAGCCCTTGGGGCCAGAGTCGGCGGGTGGCAGCCACTGCCCTCAAGACACAGAGATCGATGGTAGCTGTCCCTGGGGCTGTGAGTGCCCAGGTCGCCCCATGCCCCCTGGAGGGCCTCCCAGGACCCCTGAAGCCCCTGTAGAGAGGCCTCAGATCAGGTCTCTGTCCCCTGCTGCCTTCACTAGAGATGACTAGGACGCCTGGATCCCTGCTGCTGGGTGCCCTGAGGCAGGTCAGCACGTTGGCCCGCCTTTCTGGTGGATGTGTCACCTGCACCATGCCTGTCGGTCATGGAGCTGGCCCTGGGGCTCCGGTTCCATTGGGCCTGAACCTGTGGCCTAGTGAGTGCAGCAGACAATCGCTGTGCTGGGGCAGTGCACTGTCCCAGGGGCCAGCCGAGACGTCCCCTGGGCCTCCCGACTGTCCCCAGGACCCTGCTTCACTGAGCAGAAAAACCTGGGGGCCGGGGCCACCCTGCTGCAGACACACGGGCTCTTCTGACTTGGGGACCGCAGCCGCCACTGCTGGTGGGACAGGACGGGGACCTGCCGCCAGGCCACTGTCCCTTGCTCACCTCTCCGTCCTCTTGCAGCTGACCATGCCCAGCCCGATGCCCGAGTACCTCAACGTGCACTACATCTGCGAGTCCGCCTCCCGCCTGCTCTTCCTCTCCATGCACTGGGCCCGCTCCATCCCCGCCTTCCAGGCCCTCGGGTGAGTGGCCCTTCTCCAAGCGCCCTGATCCGTGGACGGGGAGCGTCATCGGCTGCCACCCTGCAGCAGGCCCCAGACCTCCACGAGCCAAGGGTGTGGCACCAGGAGCTGTGGTCAGGCCCTTGAGACCATGCGACGGCCTGTGTCCCCCACGCAGCACTGGTCTGTGTCCCCACACGGGCCTTTGTTCCTGTGGGAGATTTTTAAAACATGGGGTTAAAAAGTGACGTCCCTGCTGCCATGGACGTGGACCCTCCTCAGAGGGCTACACAAAATATGTCACCACCTTACAGCCGTGTCCCTTGGGTTTCACATACGCGTCAGGCTCCGAGCTCAGGGGCGACTGTGATGACGGGAGGTTTGCACTAAGCTGAGGCCTGCTCAGCGCAGGGGGCCTTTCTGGGGCAAAAACAGGCACAGCCTCTGGCCTTGGATTTTTCCTTTTTGGTGGTGCTGGGCTCTGAGCCCAGGGCCTTGTGCGTGAGAGGCAAACACTTGGCCACCTGAGCTCTGTCCCCCAGCCCACGGCCTCAGAAACCTTGAGGCAGAAGAGGGGGCAACCCAGCCCCATGGGGCTGCAGCCTCAGAGCACCAAGATGGCTGCTGCGCAGGGCTGGCCGTGCCCCTCCCGTGGGCAGAAGTTTCCCAGAGCAGGGTGCAGGCGGCCCAGCTGGTCCCCTGCTGCAGGCCCAGCCCTAGCAGGTGGGTGGGTGCACTTCTCCCCTTCAGGTGGATGTTCGGCTCCTGTCTTGATCCACGGGGTCACTCGTGACCTTGGCTATGGGTGTCGAGTCACAGGTCCCATCTTCCTAGGACAGAGCCAGGCCAGGACAGCCGAGGGTCCACTTGGGGAAGGAGGCTTCGGCCTCCCTGCTGAGGGTTGTGGCATAGCACTGGCCGGGCACCGTTGTGTACACCTGTGACCTAAGCCACTTGGGCAGTGGAGTCAGGAGAACCACAAGTTGGAGGCCAGCCTCAGCCACCGAGGCCCTTTCTCAGAATAACAAACAAAAAGGGCTGGGGACAGAGCCCAGGGGCCGAGCAGCCTTGTCCTCAGTCCCAATAGCAGAAGGGCAGCTCCCTGCTGGACGGGGGGGTGTTAAGTGCTGTGCTGGGTACTGGGCAGTGGCCTGGCTCCCGTGCAGCCCGTGGGCATGTCCTGGCGGAGGCCCTGGGTGGTGCCAGGTGCGGTGCCGCCGCCCGCTGAGCCGCCCTCCGCCCCCAGGCAGGACTGCAACACGAGCCTGGTGCGGGCCTGCTGGAACGAGCTCTTCACCCTGGGCCTGGCCCAGTGCGCCCAGGTCATGAGCCTGTCCACCATCCTGGCCGCCATCGTCAACCACCTGCAGAACAGCATCCAGGAAGGTAGGGCCTGGGGACGCAGGGAGGAGGGTGACCCGGCCTATGGCACAGCCTCTCGTCCCACCACACCATGGGGGGGCGGCACTTGACTTCAAAGTGGTGGGAGCACCCTAGTCAGAGCGTCTGGAACGGCCTTTTCGTGTAAAGAGTGACCGCCATTGTGAAGACCACGTCCTCTTTGGCATTTAGTGATCTTTTTCAAGAATAGTTGGAGCTTACAATCCCATCATCCCTGGGTTGTCGTCCTTCCATGTGACATTCTCCAGGCCTGTCCTCAGGACTGTGACCTGTGTGGAAACTGAGGCCCTGGTGAGGCCACAGCTGGCCTCCAATGAAACAAGAGGGACACATCCCTGCCCCTACTCTCCTCCTTGTCGTTGGTAGACACGGCCAGGTTCTCCCCAGGCCATGTGCCCAGAGCACAGCGAGGACCAGCCTGCGGAAGGGGAGTATCCAGGGCTCCACGTGAGCGCTGAGACCCTCTCCGTTAAGCGAGGCTCCTCCTGGGGCGTCCCAGGTGTCTGAGTCCTGGGACGCGAGCCACCTGGCAGCAGACCTCAGTTTTCTTTGTTTTTCAAATAAACCAAGTAGAAGCACGACACCTGCTGTAGAGCGCTGTAGGGTCACACTGTCCCGACGGCTGTCCATGTCCCGTTGAGGAGTCGGCACATGCTCCTCGGGACCTGTGGAGTTGGGAACCTGGCCCCGACAGGACTCAGGCAGAGTTGAAGGAGCTTCCCGGTGGCACCATAGGTCAGGGAGCTGCCTCCTGGGTGGGCCCCAGCCTGGGGCCTTGCTTCTGAGGCCGGGTGACAGCACAGTGGAGCGTGAGTGCCCACAGTCACTTCCCCCGTGCTGGGAGCAGCCTGAGGTCCCCGCGGTGGCCGTGTCCTCAGGGCCTGTGGTCTGCTTGCAGACAAGCTGTCGGGCGAGCGCATCAAGCAGGTCATGGAGCACATCTGGAAGCTGCAGGAGTTCTGCAACGGCATGGCGCGGCTCGAGGTGGACGGCTATGAGTACGCATACCTTAAAGCTATAGTTCTCTTTAGCCCCGGTAAGATATGCGCTGGGGACCCGGGACGCCTTCCCTGTGCCCACTGATATTTCTGACCATGATCGCGTTGTCAGCTGTAGCCTGCCCTGCCAGTCTGTATGTCACGTGGTGTCCCCCAACAGCCACTTGACTGGCTCCTGCAAATGCGGACATTCTGTTAGTCCTGGGCTTTTACAGCTCCCGAGAAACGTGCCACCGTGTCTGGGGACATTAGGGGACAGAGGACAGCTATTCAATACCTAATTAGATCCCTGGCCACATGGACGCCCGGCCGGCCTCCGCAGGTGCTCCTCGCACTCTTTCTGATCACCTGGGCTCGGTGCCAGCCAACCCTACAAGAGTACCTGGGCAGGCTCCCCGTGGCTCTGCCCCGTCCCCAAGACAGCTCGGGAGCCTGTCCCCGAGTACCCAGAGGGCGCTCTCCCTTGGCAGTTCCCGTTCCTGGCTCTGTGGTGGCAGCCAGGTGTCCACAACTGACTCAGCTGGGCTCGTGCCCAGGGGGAAGGGGGTGCCCCTTTGGAGCCCAGCTCCTTCTTGGGAACCTTGGCAGAAACCGGTGGCAAAGCTAGCATTCTAGCCACGTCCCAACGGGATTGAGATTCCGAGTTTGGGACATAACCTTGGGGAAGCTTCATACAAACTCGACTCAGCTGGCCGAGGTGGGCACACCGTGACCACTGCTGTCAGGAGACCGAGGGCTCGGGGCCAGCCTGGGCACCTCGGACCCTGTCTGGGAATGTAAAGATCATTTGTGAAAGGGCTGGGGTGGGGCTGGTTCCCCTTGCCGCCCCTCCACGCACACAGTGCCCACGGTGGCGTCTGCAGGGGAGGCCTCCCCAGGGCAGAGGGGAACCCGGGGGTCCTTTTGCTTTCAGATCACCCAGGTCTGACGGGCACGAGCCAGATCGAGAAGTTCCAGGAGAAGGCGCAGATGGAGCTGCAGGACTACGTGCAGAAGACCTACGCCGAGGACACCTACCGGTGAGCCCCGCCCCCTGTCCTGTTCAGCGGAGGCGGCAGGAGTGCGGGGGCCAGGGCTGGCCACTGGGAGGCTTCAGCGTGCTTCTCCCTCATCTGACGGGTCGAGGCCTCTCCTGGGGCTGGTGCGGCAAGGCCCTGTCTGCCCACTGCAAAGCGCTGCCTCTGGTCCTGGGCAGCAGCTGCGTGTGACCCTAGGGGAGAGCAGGGAGTCGCACAGGTCATACCTCCAGACACGCTGGCTGCGAGGGGTCCCGGTGTTGGGGGCTGGTCCAGCGTCGGCAGCACTAACACGGGCTCCCTGGCTCTGACCCACGGGGCTAGGGAATGGCTGTCCCCTTTCCCTCCAACCATTTTCTACTTTTTATCCCGTTCTGACCTCACAAGGAGTCACAGTCCAGACAGAGGAAGCCCTTCCCTAGGCTTGTGTCCCCTGCCCAGAACTGCCCGGGTCCTGAGCCTCAGGGGCACCTGGCCCTCCTGGCTGACTGCAGTGCCAAAGCCAGGACCGTCCCGTGGCCCAGCTGCAGCTTCTGTAGCACCACTGTTCACCAGAGTCTCTGAACCCTTGTCCTGAGCCCAGAGTCCCCTCAGCCTGTGCAGCAGGTTCTCGCCACACGCTCCCCACAGACCCCCGTGGCCAGCCTGGGGCCCCAGGCTGAGATGGCCCCTGCTGACATCCTGTGCGTCCTGCAGGATCAGAGCAGGGAGTCCATTGTAGCCGGCTGTAGGTGCTTGAATGCTCCAAATATAGTTTTTTTAGAACATTCTAGAAAGTGCAAAGGGGACACACTACTTTATTAAGAAGGCTGTCCTACCTTTAACCTTCTGTGTTCACTTCTAGAAACTGGCTTTATGTTACTGGGAACCAAAGCCCCTGACTTTTTATCTAACACAGAAGGAGCAGCGCAGTCACCTGGGACACAGCAGACACAGTGTCTGTGGCCCTCACACCAGGGTTTCTCCAAAGTGAAGCATCTTTTACCTGGATTTTGAGGCCATACCAAGCTCTAGGAGCTCCTGAGAGGCAGGGACAGCCATGAGTGTCGTGGGGACATCCTCCGCCTGCTTTTTAATCACACAGTGTGTCATGGGTCTTTCGTCATCGAGACGTAGACATTCTTCCTGTCTTTTAGGAAGTGGCAGGCCAGTGGCTTTCTTTTTGTGAGCCCAGTGTGACTCGCCTGCTGGGTGTTCTCAGGATGAACAGGGAGAGCAGCTGTTGGAGTCAGGAAAACCAGAGCTGGGTGGCGGGTGGCAGTGGCGGCCCGGTCCCCGGAGCTGGAGGCCCTCCCGTCTCTAACGCGGCTCCCTCTTGCAGATTGGCCCGGATCCTCGTCCGCCTGCCTGCGCTCAGGCTGATGAGCTCCAGCATAACGGAGGAACTCTTTTTCACTGGTCTCATTGGCAATGTTTCAATAGACAGCATAATCCCCTACATCCTCAAGATGGAGACGGCGGAGTACAACGGCCAGATCACCGGAGCCAGCCTATAGTACCCACGCGCGCCCGCCACCGCCCGTGGGACCCGCCAGGACCGCTCGGACCAAGGGGAGCAAAAGTAGTGGTGTTTGGTATGTGCAAAGGGTGGCCGGGTCCCACCCGGTTCCTCCTGTTGACCCCAGACAGTGGGATCCTCTCCCGCCGTGAGAAGCGTTTTCATGCCTTTTGATGAAGATTTTGGAAAAATCTTTTAACTCCATTTGTATTTAGCAATTCTCAAAGGGCAAAAAACCAGAAAAATGAAGTTTTATAATGTCAGAGACTAGTATTAAAGCAACTAAAAGAACCTAAGAGAACAGTATGTGTGTAAATATATTAAAAATGTCCTTGGAATTAATAGCTACTAATTGCCAGGGTGACAATAGCACTTTCTAAGCACTTGTTATCAAACTTTGTAACGTTAGCGACACCTGCCTGTGGGCGGGGCCACGGGCACCTTTGGCTGGAGCGCTGGGGACTGGCACCGCGGGTTCCGGAGACAATCATTTGTTTAGAGCGACGTGGCTCCTGTGAACGGAAACGTGGCGGCAGGGCTGACCGTCCGGTCCCCTGACCGCGGTCCTGGTCTGTGGCGGGCTTCTGCGGACTCTCCATCAGCTGCGCCTGCTTCTGAGGATTAGGTTGGAGCTGGTCAGACGGAACGGCGACAGGAGACCTGTCACACCTCCAGCAACGGCAGACGTCCTCAGGTCACCTCACGCTCGTGGCAGCTGCAGCCTCTGACCCAGCAGGCAGGGTGGGCACCCTCCACCCTGGACGCCCCTTCCCGAGTAGGCGGGGTGGGGGCTGCGTGGACAGGGACGGTGCAACTTCTGGCATGTGAGGACCCCAATCCAGGGGTTTCCACCTGACACCCCGGGACCAGGTCAGGGCCGGTGGCACAGGAGCCCAGCAGCTCGTCCTCTGCAGGTCATGAACATCAGGGGTGGCCTCTCACTGTCCCAGTGCGTGGTGCCCCTGTAGAAAGCAACCCTCATCCCCAAGGGACCGTCTTCCACAGAAGTTAGTGACCAGAGTTGACACCAAAAGCCGAGCTCGGTTACCAGGCATACCGTCACCTCCATGAGCATAGTTTGCATCTGTTGACCAGGCAGCCTGTCCCCACGGCACTGGGTGTGTCCTCCTGGGGTGGGCAGCGCTCCGGACTGTGGCAGCACAATCAGGGGAGACGCATCCGCCTCGGGCTCCATCTATCTCTAGGGCTGTTCCTCCTTGTGGGCAGCAGAGGCTGGAGAGAGGCTGTGGTGGCCGATGGACTTGAGTGTTTAGGGAGGTGGACAGGCTCCCCGAGAGCAGAGCTGGCCTGGTGGGTGTCCCTCGAGCCGCTACTTCCATGTTCTTGCATTTCCGAGGGCCGCATGGTGGCCCGGGGGCCCCGTGTGCCTGCAGAGGTGCCGGCCTGAGCTGCCCAGGGCTGAGCCCGGAGGATGCTCTCGGGCTCAGAAGTCCCTCGTGTGGCCGGAGCCTCAGGTTACTTAAGGACACTCACCATTTGGGGTGCGGCCGTCACAGGCTGTCAGCGTTGGGGAGCTTGTGGTCTGGGTGTGACGACGTGAGGCCAGGTCCTCGAGGTGCTCTGCATGGAGCCTGGGTGAGGACACCAGCCCAGGGGGAGGACAGTCCCCATGGTCACTTCTTGGTTAAGTGGCCTTCTTCCTAGAAGTAGCTCAAATGACGTTGAGTCAGGTGTTGGAGTCACGTGCGCGTACACCAGACAGGAAAAGACCCAGGCGCTCAGCCCAGTGTCACACTGGTCCCTTTCCTCCCGGAAGGTGACATGCTGCCCAGCCTCTGCCCTTGGGCTGAGGTTTTGGGGTCCTTAAATGGGTTTTTCTATTGGATCTGGGGTGTGGTTGCCGTGCGCCCTCGTTTTCTAGCTGGTGGGCACCCCGGGTGGGCAGGCAGGGCTGGACACACCCCTACCCGTGGCCACTTGGGCAGCTGGCCATGGTGGGAGCCAGCCTGAGGCTGGAGCCTCGCCCTGTCCTCTGGGGACGCCTCCCTACAGAGCAGTCCTGGTGGCAGTTGGCATCCGTGTCTAGAAGCCTCTGGCTAGTGGCATTCAGGTCCCCTCAGCCTGTTAAGTGTCCTGTGAGACCCGATTTTTCTCCAGGTGCCCTTCAGTCCTGGGAACACGTCAGCCAGTGAGCAGATGCCCCCATGTCCCCTGCCCAGCCACCAAGCTCTAGGTCAGTCACGCAGCTCTGAAAATTGTCTCAACTTTGTAGATTTTGAAAGCCAAGACCCCAGCGCGACAGGGCGGCTCTGGGCCTTTGGCACTCTAGGTTCCGGGCCACCCCTCCTCCTGCGTCCCCCGCAGTGTGCACTGGGCGTGTCCAGCCCCAGGGCTCTGCAGCAGCCTGGGTGATGTACGTGTGTCCATGCCCCGAGTACAGAGCTGTATGGTGTGTGACAGACGCCCGCCCCTGCCCTGGACAGTTCTGTGACAGGTGCTCCAGGCCCCTGGTTGGGGGAGACGCTGGTTTTCCTACCTGCATCTTCCTGTGGGGCAGCCCCTCTCTCCAGACAGGAAAGGAGGGGACAGGAGGACATTTCTGTTCACACGAGGGCTGCAGCGTCCCCAGCTACGTGGCCATTTCTCAACTCGGTCACACGGCAGCTGGCAGCCCAGCTGGAAGGAGCTCCCCAGGTCCCGCGCTCCACGGGGCCAGAGCCAGGCCAGGGTGCGGACTGTCCTTGTCAGCGGGGCCTAGAGCGGTGGGGGGGGGGGGTGTCCTTTGGTGCAGTTCCCTGTCCCCTGGGGGCACGGCGGGAAGACCCCAGGCTAAACTCCTTTCTGAAAAATTCAAATCATAATTTTCAGAAAAGAACTGGTGTTTGTCCTTAAAGCCACAGACACCAAGGTTCTGTCACCAGGTCTAACCTGATGACTGCCCATAATCGGGCTCTGAGCAGAGACCCGGCCCTGCAGCCAGGCCCAGCCTGGCGGTCACTGCTGGATGACCGGGACCCTTCCGGGCCCCAGGCTGCTCTTTTCTCAGTGCAGCGTCAGCATATTCGAGGACACGGGGACAGTGCTCAGTGCCTTTGAGAGACGTGGGCCCTCAGCGCTTGGCGGCCCTACTTTGATGTAAAACGAAGGTGGCGCTGCTGTGGCCCTCACCTGCTGTGACAATCACATGTTTGAAAGTGGCTTTCTAGCTGAAAAACGTGGAAGCCTGCCTGACACTCTGTCACCTGTCTGGCCGGCACAACAGTAGCCGAGTGACCCCAGCCACTTGACGGGGCGTTAAAGGGTGAAGGTTGGGGTGGCGGTTGGGAACAGCAAGCTCTCCCTTAGGAGTGGCTTTTCCTCGGGAGCAGGCTCAGTTGTGAGTGGCAGACTTGCTGTCCTCTGTCTCACCTGTCCCCGGGGTCCAGCGCTGGCCTGGTCCTCTGACGGCGAAGCTGCACATGTCCCCACACCCCAGCTGTGGGTCCCCGCTAGTTGGGACTCCTGTTAAAATGTAGCCGCGTCCCAGCCCTTAAAAAGGCACCCCCCAGAGGACAGTGCAGGCGTGAGGTTTCCTGGGACCATCCTTGTCACCCTGCCCTTCTCTCCTTGACGCCGTGACGTTTGGACTCCGGGTTGAGACCCTGTGGAGGCTGCAGCTGTGCACAGCTCCCGTCCCCCGTGAAGCGAGCGTTGTTCTGTGATGGCATTTCAATGGCATGTCCTTTTTAACCCGATTTTGTATCTAACGCTGTCCCGCCCGCGGCCCTGCGCTGTGTCCGTGGCGCTGCCGTGCATGCGCAGCTGTGTGCGTGACCCATGCTGTCTGATGTGGCCTCGCTGTGGCCCACCCTGCTGCCCACAGGAGGGCAGACCATTAAAAGTGAATTAAAGCCTCGTGTGCGCCTGCTCCTCATTTCTCCCCACCGCACTGGTGACATCTGGCCGAGGGCCCTGTGGGGACTGTTGGGGTGGGACAGTCCCCCTCTCTCCACCTGACCTTGGCCCTCAACACCTGCCAGGGAAAACCCAGGCAGCGACCTCTGTGTCCACCGCAGGGCGGCTCCTGGGTGAGGGGTGAGGCTGCTTCAGGAGCAGGGCGGCCACCCGACCCCGTCACCAGGCCTTGAGCCACCGCGCAGCAGGCTCCTCCTCTAAGGAGAGTCACTCACCAGGGTGGAGCCACCCGTGGGGGACGAGCTCATGGTCACCTGGCCTCTCATTTCACAGGTAAGGACGCTAAGGCCCCAAGTCACAGGCAGGACAACTCATGACAGCCAGATCTGAGTGGCACTGCCCGCCGTGCCCCCTGACGACCACACGGCTGCTGTCTGCAGACCCGCCCCACGGCTCGGGACACGGCTAAGCGTCGGGCAGCCCTCTCGCTCCGCCAGTCCCCGTGTCTCAGGTTCATCAAAGACAAGTTGTAAACGATGACGAGCGTGATCCTCGTCCACTGCCCATGTCCCAGGGAGGGTGGCCCCAGGCCAGCCACCACTCGCCTCCACCCACTGGCCCGGAGGTGTGGCGGGTGGACCCCGCAACCGTGCTGAGCCTGAGCTTGAGCCCAGGCCTCTGTCCCTCTACAGATGGGCGACTGTTCTGGATCAGGGTCCCCCTCATCCTGGGAGTTCGTGTCACCAAGCCAGCGGCTGGGTTGGGGACAATACAGTGGCCCTCCACACTGGCTGTGGGAGACAAGGGCCACACTGCCACCAAACACCAGCCCGTGAGCCTGTGGCTCTCAGAGCGCCCTGTCCACTACGACTAGAGCCACGAGCCATTGCCCAGCACAGGTCTGGTGCAGAGTCACCGCAAACCGGCACCTGGACGTCACCATCTCTGGCAGGTCCCTAAACCACATTACAGCTCCCACAGCCACGCTGCCCGCTGTCCAACAGCAGAGGCCACCTGCACCAGCTACCACCCTGGGGGCTGTAGGACCGGCCAGGCTGGGCCAGGAAAGGAAGGTGCCAGCCTGACCCCCACACCCACCTCCTGGCCAAGTTGCCAGGGCTCTGTGGGTGACCTCGCCAGCAGGGGCCATGGACCTGAGTGACGGGGGCCTGCACCACAGTGGGCTGCTGCAGCTCTGCCCAGGCCAGACCCCAGTCCCCATGCCACGCAAGGGCCACATGCTTGTTGGAAAGGCCAGCCCTCCGAGGAGTGGAAAAGCCACAAAGCCACAGGCTCAGCCATGGTGGCTGTCACCTCCCCGAGAGCAGATGACCCACAGCACTGGAGCAGAGTGTCCCAGGACAACACGTTGGCAACGGCCTCTACGCTCCCTGCCCAGAGCCCCTTCCCTGCGGCAGGACCAGAGGCACACTGCTGCTGGGGCCACCAGGCCTTTTATTGAGCAAGGGACGGGGACATCCATGCAGCACCTCAGCCTCAGTCCACAGGCGACCTCCGAGCACAGTCCTGGGGTCACCCCCATCTCACCACCGCTTGGTGCGCGGGCGGCTCAGTCCTTGGCGCTGGCCCTCAGGGCGGCTCTATACTTGCCGGTCATCTCCTTGGGCAGGGCCACCAGGCCCGGGCAGGGCACCTGGCCCTCCACCTGGCACATGCACTCCCGCAGGCAGTACTTCCGGGGCCCGAAGTTGGCCGGGTGCGACAGCTGCTGCCTCTCCTGCTGCTCCCTCTGGAGGGTCTCCCTGCAGGAGCGCCGAGGTGAAGCACAGCCCGGTCCCCGAGGAACCCCTACCCACCCCATGCACGAGGGCAAGGTCCCTGGGAAGACAACCCCCTGCTGTCCCCAAGAGCAGCGTGCGTCCTGGGGTCAGCCCTTCCCCAGGCCCGACCCCTGGAGCCAGACGTCCCCTTCACACGGGGCCTTCCAGCTGCGCTCCAGGGGCCTGTCGCCACCCCGGCAGGGACGAGCTTGCCCTCTTGACCCGGACAGGCCAGCCGTGAGCAGCCCCCGCTCAGCTCCTCCCCGTCAGGGGCAGCCACTCACTCGCTCTTCCCCAGGATCTTCCTGACGTGCTCCACGATCTCCTTGTTGGTCTTGGTCTCCACGTCCACCAGGACCTGCTCCCCGGAGTCTGGAAAGAGAGGCCCGGGACGGAGGCTCAGCTCGTGCGCACAGCCCCAGAAGCTGCGACTCCATCTGCTGCAGGGGCAGGGACGCTTGTCACATGGACACACGTGTTTACAGAACCCAGGAGGCCGCCTGGCGCTCTCCGTGCTCCCGGGATCCGAGCCGCCTTCAGGTGGGTGCCCAGCACCCTGCGCAGCACCGCGCCTTGCAGCCAAGACTCCGGGCCGCGCAGACGGGCTGCAGGGGCCGTGGCCCAGGTCTCCCTGGAGTGGGTGGTGCCTACACTCACACACACACACACACACACACACACACACACACTCACACACACACCCTCTGAGGATGGAACCCGGGGCTCTGCACACCGAGCTCCGTCCCCAAACTCCCTCTCTAGTGCCAGCGCTGAGTCCCGGGGCGCCCGCCGGCCTTTTGGTAAGGAACTATTTTGTTCGGCGACAGGAGACTCAGGGCCACTGACCCGCGGCTCCAGTGCCCACCCTGCCCAAACCCAAGCAGGTGTTTCCGCAGAAACGGAAAAGCTGACCCTGAAAGCACATGGAAAGGTGAAGGGCTCAGAGCAGCCACCGCCTTGGAACACAAGACGGCGAGGAGGGGGAAGGAGGCCGCTTTCCCGTTTCCACGGCACCGAGTCGGGATCACGGCAGTGGGACGCGCGGGCTCGGCGACGGACCGAGCCCGGGAACTGCCTGCTCATGTGCGGACCAGCGGCCTGGGCCCGGGCGGGCCCGTGCAGGAGGGCGAACGTGCGCATCCGAGGCCGAGAGCGGACACGCGCACCAACTCTGAGCGCGCCCGCCCAGCACGCCCCAGGCTGCCAGAGAAGGAACCTTCTAGAAGAGAACACGGGAGCAGATCGTAACCCTGCTGAACAAAGGCTTCCAGCCACATCAAGAGCTCAACTATGAGCCACCCCAGGTGTCCACCAACAGACAGGTGGCTCTACGACAGGGTGGCACGTGGATGGGGCAGCTGGATTCGGCCATTGGAGGGACCGTAGTGAGCACTGAAGCGGGCCCCCCTCACCCGGAGGGTGGAGGCTTGTGTTCTCACGTGTGGAAGCCGGAGAGGAAAGACAAGGAGGGGACGCGGGCACAGTGGCCTCACCTGGGACCCCAGCCGCGGGCAGAGGAAGGAACGTGAGTTCAAGGCCGACCCCACAACCCAGCAGGACCCTGTCTTTAGATAAAGAAGAAAGAAGCTGGGGGGTGGCTCGGGCCAAGCACCCCTGGTTCAAGTCCCGATACCAAAAAAAAACTATTAAAAAATTAAGTGACAGGGGTGGGAGGGGCGGGGGTGAGGGAGACAGGAGGAAAGGGGTGGGGGTGGCCCTGGCCAAGCTGTGACACTGTGTGTGCGTGTGTGTCGCTTCCCTCATGTGCAGGCACAATACACTAATAAAGACAAAGAAAAAACATCAAGTGAAAAACCACTAAAAAATTGAACTAAAATTGAAAACTTACACACTTCCAAAGACATCATAAGCCACAACCTTGGGGGTAAGGAACCTGTGCCCAAAGTACGTAGCAACTGTCAACTCAAGCCAAGCCGACTGCAGAACAGAAGTGGCCAATACACCCACGAAAAACTCTTCAATCTACTCACTAGGAAAATACTAACGAACACAATGAGGTGTCATCAGAATCGCCAAGATTTTAAAAAATGAAAATAAAACCTGCTACTAGCCGGGCCTGGTGGTGCACACCTGTCATCCCAGCAGCTCGCGAGGCTGAGGCACAAAGATCTCAAGTTCACACTCACTCTCAGCAACAGCAAGGCCCTCAGCAACTCAGTGAGAACAGTGCTGGGGACAGGGCTCAGTGGCCCCTGGGTTCAATCCCTGTATCAAAAACAAAGCAGAACCCTGCTGCTGAGGATGTAATAACACAAACTCCCACGTGCAGATGCGGACACCACTTCAGCCAGTGAAGACCAAACACAAGGGGGCAGGAGGGGGAGCGGAGTGGATGTCCTTATTTATAGGTGACACGGGCACACTGTACACGGTATCTTAAGCTATCTAGAAATAAAAACGAGAAACGGTGAGAGCAAGGTCGACAGGTGCAGACACAGGAAGCAGCAGTCAACGGCAGTGTAATTCCAATGTGACCCTCGCCCAGCTGACAGGCCTGTGGTCTACATGGAAAAATCAGAGGGCCTCGTTGAACGAACACTACCCAATTCCTTTCATTTCTTCATTTATCACTTTTATTTTGTTTCCTGGGAGTTAATCTCAGGTCTGCTCTGCCCCTGAACTACACCCAGCCCATTTTTATTTCTAGACAGGGATGATGTTGCTCAGGTTGGCCTTGAACTTGAGGTCCTCCTGTCTTGGCCTCTGAACGGCTGGGATTACAGTCATGCGCCACTCAAGTTCAATGTGACACTGCACAACCACAGGCGGCTATGAGCTTAGGACCAGTGTCCACCAGTGAGAGGGAGGAAAAGGACTTCAGAAATCACACTGTCAGGGGACGTTGGGGTAGACACCCAGGATACACGCAGCATCTTAACCCTTTTAAAGACACGGTTCAAGGGAGCTAGTGTACCCGCACGTGGGCCTCTGTACCCGGCTCCTTCCCCTAGTAGCACGCCAGAGTGACATGGTGGGGTGTACGCCAGCTGCTCCTCTCCATGGCTGAGTGACCAGCTGTGGAGCCCACACATTGTTGTCCACTTGTGTGAACTGACAGACGCAGCGTATTCAGCGGGGAAAGGAGGCTGAACACGGGGTCATAGGTCCCGAGACCTCCTAGTCTAAAGCCACACCCTACTGAACACAGGAGATGACACCAAGTGGACCACAGGACAAAACATAGACATTTAAGGTTACAGTTCTTCAAGGAAGTGTGTTAGGGTCTGTA